TTGCCAAAAATTGATAAGCAATTGTTGTCTTAAGGTGGGTGCGAGTCAGTGAACCGTGCACGCTGGCCTTCGTACTTTGCAGCCAGGTCGACGTGGCCGACGCGCGAACCACTATTTGACTTTTACCACCCCTTCCCTCATCCTCACCCCCGACGCTAACCGTAACACGTATGTCGCCACCTTACCATGGACCAACCAACGTTTTAGTTGGACAATCCATAGCCCCATTTTTATTTTCGTTTTACTACGGGCCGGTATTATGTGCTTGAAAACTAACGATAACAACTCAATTATCCGAAGAATGCAAACTACTCCACTTCTATAGCATATTTTTGCCTAGCTGTCAATAAGTACTACCCTATTTTATCCGTTATTATACTTTAACGAGCTTCAAGAGGAGAACGAAGTCCATGAAACTGGTAGAGAATTAAGTAAATCAATAAAGGTATTAGCAGAACAATGCAGTAAGCAACTCTTACGATTTCTAGATACACTGCCAGCCAACGCCACCGCGGTAAGAGGAATTCACGGATGAGGGCGGAGATGATGATTATCAGAGGAAAGGTAAAACTTATCCAAGACGCACTGCTAAATTCAGCAATTATCATTACTGCGATTAGCATGGAGAGTTCGCAGAATCGAATCAGTGTAAATACCGCCAGTTGTTGTTTTGGAAGATTAGAGAGGAATTCCCAGCGCCCCCAGTACTTCCTTCTGCAGAGCAAAGCATAGATGCTATTGGTCAGGTCAAGGCCACGAAGGCCAGATATGCCGACAAACAGGAACAGGCCGTAAAGGGCTGCGACGGGAATAAAGCGCAGGACATCACCAAGCATGACCGTACACATGACAAGAATTCCGACGATCAGCAGGTTCACCCTCTGTTCGACAAGCGAAATGATCCTAAATAAAGATTGGATAAAAGCATCTTTAGTAGCTTCAATACAGCGAAACGCTGACGTTTTGGCATTTTGGAAATATTTACTTTATAACATGCGTAAATATAATAGAACTTAAATCAGTTAATGGCTGTTGACCTAAGTTGTTTGGTCTTCAATAAAGGAATAAGTAATTCTAGCAGAATACTTAAATCAGTAATAACAGAAATTGCTTAGATAGTTAGAACAGGAATTGTAGGCAGGAGTTTCCTTGGTAGCGCACATATGTTCTTATTTATATTTAAATG